TTGGTAATACCCCATATTTGTGTAAGAACATCAGCACTTACTGGTTGAAGTCAGTATCATGAAGTCAGTCTGCCTCCATATTTCCAGAAATTTATTAGTGACTATGTTAGTGTGTGCCAATATTTTTTTATGAAAACAAATCCACAACTCAATAGGAATTTACACTGGCAGGCAAGAGTGCTAGCGGCTGTGCCACTACAGCTCCTAAAAGGATGAAGAGGGAGATATCATTCAGTGAAATAATGACTCTCACAATAGCCTTGCAAATATCAGTAATCTGGACTTCAGCCTGGTTACAGAACCTGTGTTGCATGCACATCTGTTTTACAGATCTGACTTATTTACATGCAGACTGTTAGTTCCTTATCTCTCAGACAGATGCACTTCGACTCTGAAAGAAGCCCCCAATTAGTTGGGGAGGCAGTGGGTCTATTTTTGTTTTCTACAACAGTGCATTAGGAAACACAATCACTATGAGCTAAAGAACTAAATTATTCTAAAAAGTATACAGTCTGAAGGCAGTTGTGCTTGGACAGGGTACAAGTGCAGGCAAGCTCTCTCATTTACTGCGCATATACAGACATCCATAGAATAAAACGGGCTTTTTTTTTTAAGGCAGTATGGCAGTACTTGCATCTTTCTTTCAGACAAACTGTCAGCGTAACTGTAAATGACAATGTATGGTGAGCGCTGGCACCTTCTCAAGATACCTTATGGCGGGCACCTGCATATTTCTAGTGTCTTTAAAAAAAAAAAATGGTGCTCCACCACACTCTCACAAACAAAATCTGTGGCAGCAGCAAATAGAAGTCTTTCCTTTAGTAATTCTGTGGCAGGAGCAAACAAGCCAAAGTCTTTCCTTTAGTAATTCTGTGTATCTGTTACAGGTTTGTACCAAGTAACTATTAAAATAGCACAGTGAAACCATATTAAAACAAGTCATTAAAAAACATTTACTAAAAAAAAAAAAATTACAAATAGTATAGCAGCAGTGGAACCCACATGCCATTGAATAGGAAGGCGGTGTCAGCCGCACCCGAGTGTCATCACTGGGGGGGGGGGGCACCTCAACTGTCATCACTGGGGGGGGGGGGGGGGGGGGGGGGGCGAGTGTTATCAAGGGGAAGGGGGTTGACACAATGACATAAATATGTGCGTTTTCTATATATGTGTGTGTGTGTGTATGTACATGTAAGATTGTTAAGTAATTAAAAGTAATTTTAAACCCACCTCACGGGCCAGTAAAAATTGACTAGCATGCCAACTTCAGACGCTGGCCATAGTTTGACCACCCCTGACTTACAGACTTCAACAAAGCAGCAGTTTTTAACTTAATAATGAGCCACACAAGAATTAATTAACTGTGTATTGTCTGCAAAATGGAGGTTAGCTCCACTGTACCCAACCTTTTCATTGGAGTGACTCTTGTACAACTGTATGAATGCCAAGAGAGTGATTTTGTTGTTGGTAAAATCGCCTTCCATTGAAACTGAACCCTAGAATGCTGAAGATCGTGGCATTATGAAATGCATTTACAAATTTCTAAGCCACAAAAAGGCTATTAAAATGGAGAGAAAAAAGTGTCTGTTTATTGCTCACACCCATATAATGAGCTGCATACAGATATAATCGATTTCATTACCAAATAAGCGCATACATTTAGGATATCAAATTAACCGAAGTGAACGTAGCTACAGTTTACAAAGCTATAAAACAGGATAACAAGCCCGCATGTCTGACAAACATCAGTAGCTCAGCGTCAGCTGCAGACACAATTCTCATAACCCGAGCATCCATAAAAATGTTTTCATGTGATTCACAGTCAGAAATGGAAACTTAGAACACCATAATTATGACAAATTTCCTTCGAAGTCGGGAGTACAGCTGCCCATGAGGCAGGGAACAGTAAAACAGTTGTACACGCAAAAATCAGGTCCAGGTGAAAGCCAAAAAACCGGGACCTTCCGCCAGAATTCACAGCCGGTGATCGATATTAAAAAAAAAAATGACAGATGTGTGTAAGTGAGAAACGTGTATACATTTACACACATAATTAGTAGGGCGCCACCATGTGGTAGCGGCTAGACGCTTGGCTGCGGATCTGAAAGTCATGGTCCTGATAGAGCTGGATTTTGTTCATCAACGAACTTGGCTGCCAGGTTAACCCAGCCTTAAATGGTAACAAGGTAAAGTCATGGGAAGTAAAAGTGGACTGATTTGATATCGGCCACATCACTCACTAAGTGCCGATTGGTCTACAAAATAGAGGTCTAGCCCATTCAAATGGGTTCCTTATTTTTAGATAAACAGTTAGACAAGTTTCTTTAACAGGAAAAGGATTTAAAAACAGAAATAAATGTGACCAAAAAAATGTATAAGACAACCAAGAAAGAAATCACAATCTTGGTCAGAAAAGACAGAAATGGGAACAAATAATACATTCTAAAAACGGACAGTACCCAAACACCTCTCTAGGTTCAAGAAAAATTAGTGTACTATAAATTACTTCCAGCCACTACAAAATGAGAAATCAAGAAAATCTATCTCTGGTTACAATTTAAAAAAAAAAAATTTTTTTAAAGTGTGAAATTACGATTTCATTAAACTAAAGCGCATGATGCATCTGCTTCACAGGTAAAATAAACTTATTTCCACTGCATGAGACATTTAAACAAATATGGTCCATATACATCACCATGTATTCTTCTTCTTCTTCACGTTCACTGGCTGTAAACTCTGGCGGAAAGTTCTGACTGTTCGTCCACCTCAACTTTAGTCTTGTTCTAGAGCCTAAGTTTTGTATGTACATCTATTTAACACATCTGACTTATTAGTTGGTTAGTTAGTTAGTGAGTCGACAGATTATCATCACTGCACATCAAACCATTCAGTCCATAAATGCTTGGATCCCCTCCTTAGTATATCTCGCTGTGTGTAGTGGCACATGACAATAGTTATGTGTTGATTTCTTATTCTTATTTAGCCTCCGGCATAGCACTCTTGTCTGGCCACACCCCTCTTAACATCTTGTTCTTGCAGTCTGGTCATGGTTGCAGATTCACAATCACTTGGTTCTCGCAAGCGTCGTACTTCTTGTAGAGCATTCAGAATACCAGAATGGTCCCTGGCTCGTCCACCCTCCACAGTAGCTTCACATGCAAGCCGATCAGCTTGCTTATTTCCCTGCACATCTGGTGCCCTGGCACAAATGTGTAAGGGGACATCAGACAAATGAACTCTAACTCAGAAGAAAGCTCCCGGTTAGTTGACTCTCACAATATGCTTCTTGGGGAGGCAGTGGGTCTATTATTTATTTTCCCCCACAGTGAGGCCCCAGAACTCGCATGTGGAATCACCATCTATTCACAATAATCTTCCTTATAACACCAGTGTCCTAAGTGCATTAATGATAACCTGATCTAAACTTCTCTGCTTTTCATCCTCCACTGGAGCATAGGCCCTCAACAAACTCACAATACCTCCTCAGTCTACTACAGCTTCATCCAATCTCACCCCTACCCCAAACTATTTATTTATGCCTCTTATTCTCATCATCATGAGTATTTAGATCTCACCCTATTTTTGGGGGGACAACTGTTATGGTGTAGTGGCTAAATGTTCACCAACAGATCCTAAGGTCATGGGTTCAAATCACACCAAGCCGAGATTTTTTTTAAAATGAATTTTGTTGACTAAGCCTAAAGTGGGAAACAGGTAAAGTCCTAGGAAGTAAAGGTGGCCAGTGTGCTGCTGACCACATCACCCACTGACTGGTCTAAAAAATGGAGGTCTAGCACTGTATGCCCAAAGGTGTGAAAGAGGTCCTTTACTGATTTACCATACTAGTTCTTCTGGCCTGTTGTACCTTATAATTTGTTCAGCCTATGCTTATGTCTCTTTGCCAGGACTTGCATATTCAGTTACCCTAGATATGTGTGTAAAGCACTAATGAATGATATATGTGACTATCTGTCAAGTGTCTATAATAAAGAATGAGCAATAATTGATAATAAATGTGAAAGAAAAACTCTGGTTTATTCAGGAGCAAATGATAAATCCAAGTTTATTTAAAAAAAAAAAAAATTTTTTTTTTAGCTTTCTGAATTTTCTTTAGGCACAAAAATAATGTCATGGTTTGTGACTTATTTATTTGAATGTATTTCAAGTGTCCAGCTTTAACAATCAACAATAACAGATTCATTAGCACAAGACCCCAAAAAAAAAAAAAAAAACATGACTTTAGGGGCGTGAAAGAATGATTCTATGACAATTTACAGTAAACCTTATTTAGTAGCTAAACCTGCTAAAATAAATCATGTTTTGAAGCAACATTCCGTCTCATGTAGTCCAATGATTAATGTTTAATTTCTTGGTCTCATCTGCTTCTGATATGTGCACGTAACTTTCTTAAAATATGGATAACTAACATTACTTTAGAAACTGTAATCTTGCAAACATGTGTAGAAAAGAAACAAATCTTGGTGATATGAATACGCTAAACATTGTACTTAACAGTTGAGACACAGTAAATTTAAATTAAACATAAAGAAATCCTGAAAACAGACGCCTTGAATGTGTTTCAACGGAATAAGCAGTTATTCAAAGAATATAATTTGTAGACTTCCTATTCTTCACATTCACCGCATGTAAACTACGGCGGAAAGTTCTGGTTGTTTATCCACAGAATACTGACTTCAAGAACTAAAATATATAGCAAGATTATGAACAAGCAGCACATAGATATATTATAGAAATGTAAGAAAGCAATGTATAATCACAAAATTCAGCTTAAAAGGTTTAAAATATAAACCAGATAGATAGAAAATATATCTGTCTTATCAAGTTTTTGATAAAACAATTTAACATTACAACAAGTAATTCAAAAACAGCTGGGACAATTGTTTCAGAAAGAGGAAGAGGAGATCACTGGAATGGGAGTGCAGATTAGTCACTACTAAAGGTGATTTGAATTAAGTCAGTGTTTCTGGATTCCAGTATTTCTATGGAACAGCACCATCATGTGTGCCTTTTGTGCTGTCTTCTATAATTTTAACCGCAGTAACAACAGATGCTAGAGCTGCTTCCACGGTGAGGAATAAACGGCTTCCATTTTTAGTCCAAAAACCTGTAGACTTCAGCATTGGAATAACATTTTCTGGTACTGATGTGATGAGGACATCGACATCCACTGATGCAAATTCATTGATGAGAAACTGTAGTGCCTGAACTCCCATTAAATCAATGAAGGCAACTCCAGATGCATTTAGAATGATTGCTTTCACTGGTACATCAGAACTAGCCTCCAACATCTTGTCATGGCCCTCACTACCATTAATACCATTTCTGAGACTTGTTTTAGAAGCGTTACGAATTGTAATTTCTTTAGTTTGTTTCTTAAGACTGACTGGATCAATTCCAGTTTTGCTGAAAACCTTTGCTGTAAATATATCAGCATTGATAAAGTATAAAGGTGTTTCAATCTGTATGATTTTAACATTACTAAATTGCTGAGCAAAAGAATACTTGTCGAGAGATCGAAGCTCAACAGTGACAGGACTGGAGTGAATCTGTCCAACTTCAACAACGGGTGTCAACATTGTCCGTAAAACTATTAAAAACAAAGAGAACAGCACACCAGCCAGCAAGCCAAAATCGGCATTGAGAACAATACAAGCAACACAAGAAAACACCCAGACTGCACAGTCGTATCGAGACTTCCGCCATTCTGATGGGATGTCTAATAGTTTGAGGAACATGGACTGGAGGTTGACAATGATTACAGCTGACAGGACACACATTGGGAGATAGTAGAAGTATGGTCCAATAAGCAAAATTACTAACAAAACCAGGACAGCTGCAAATACAGAGGCCACTTGAGTCTTACCGCCTGCACCATCTTGAACAACACTTCGGGAGACAGATGCAGCAGAAATATATCCAGAAAACACACCACAAACAATAGAGCACATTCCACACGCAAGCATTTCTTGATTTGAGTCCACTACATAGTTGTGCTTTAACCCCATAGTTTTAGCCATGGCCAGAGTCTGAGCATAAGCTATCACAATGATAATAATACCATCTCCAATATAATCTGTAACTAGGGAGAAATCTGGCCATGTCGGTGATGGCAGACCAACTGGCACTGACTCAACAACTGTGACATGAAAATTCTCATGAAGATAAGCAAACTTAGATATCAGGGTTGCAATGATAACCACAATCAATTCAATGGGAACAGGGATTCTCATATGCTTTTTGTATCTGTCATTAATAAATCTTTTTACCAGGTATAACACAAGTACACTAATAAGAAAAGTTGATAGTGTAGCAACATTTGTCTTTGGCAAATTCCACAAAACTGAAATCCAAGTCCTTATAACAGAGCCTGGACCCTTGTAGCGAGGAACTGAAAGTCCGAACATAGTCTTCAGCTGGCTTGTAGCAACATGAAACGATATACCCACTGTAAACCCAGTGATCATGGAGTTGGACATTAGGCTAGTGATCCGACTAAGGCCTAACCTGGAAGCAATTATAAGTATCAGTCCAGGCTACAATTGACACTCCACTAGCAACTTCAATTCTCTTGGCTATTTTGGCTGCATCCTCTTCATTTAAGGCTAAGCCAAAAACCATTGAAACATTTGAAGAATTTGAAACTGAAGAAAAGTTAAATGGTCCATTTGTTCCATCAGAAATACCCAATGCTGCCATTTCCATAGTTTGTGCAGTTTGGTTAATGCACACCAGAGGTGTATCTTTTATTAAACTGTTATCATATTTGTCCAAAACGGTAGCAATCATTAAACTAAGAATTGCAATACATCCCCAGGACAGCTGCCTTCCAGTTCCGAATATAAAGTATGTTAACGATGAGAAGAAAGAGATGTACAGCCCCACAATTGGAGGTAGTGTAGACAAAGCTGCAAAAGCCATCCCTTGTGGAATCATCATCACTCCAGATGTCAAGCCAGCAACAATGTCATTTGGTAAATCACTCTTCCATGTGTAAGATCGAAAAGTTTCAATGACTGGGAACAGTCGCAGAATAGATTTCTTCACATTACATGAAGCGATTTGTTTGGTAACTGTCTTGTGTATGACAGTTTTCCAAGGTACCTGGTCTTCTGGATTTCTGAAGGCATCTTCAAATTCAACAAGCTTGGGGTAGTTGGCAACATATGCACTCTCATCTTGTAGTTCCAGATATTCCAAATTATGTTTTCGCTCCATGGTCATTATAATGCTGGAGAGAGTTAACAGTAAAATATTACAGCTCTAGCGAAGCAACAACCAAAATCCTGAAAAACTAGGACAATATTTTTTATTCTTGTTCACAGGCTGTAAACTTCAGTGGTAAGTTCTGGTTGTTCGACCACCTCTAGACATTAGTCTTGTTCCAGATCCTTAGTGTTGTGTGCACATCCATTTTAACAGACCTGACTTTCATGTATGCAGATTTTGGTTCCTTACCTCTCAGACAGATGCACTCAGACTTCGAAGGAAGTCTCCAATTATTCTACTCTTACAGCACACTTGTTGGGAAGGCAGTGGGTCTATTCTTGTTTCCCCCACAACGGGGCAACACAAAGACATATATGATAATGAAATACACCAAATTTAAACACACACAAAATTAGCTTTTAGATGTGTTAATTTTGAGCTTTGATGAAATAGTAATAAAAGGTGTACTTAAAATCCAGGAAATCAAGTAAAATCAAGACAAACAAAATATAATAAACCTCCATGTAATAAGGTTGAAAATCAAAGACATGGTGGTGAAATAAGATTATCGTGGTGGTGAGATAAGATTAACATAGTTGGCTTAGAGTGTGATTAAAGCAAAGATCACAGTGAAAACAAGTAAAAAATAGTAACAAATAATGGAAACAGAAATATGTATGCAATAAATAAGAAAATAAATAACATTATCACATGGATAAGTGACATTTATTTTCTAGTTTCTAAAAGGAACAATTTCTTGTGGTTTATACCCACAAGTGATCCAGTCTCCTGCGACAGAATTTAAGCACAGTTCATGGACTGCTATAGTACTGGCAAAGATAAAAATATGGGTATGCTTAGTACTGCACATAAGAAAACATTTATGAGTGCAGGATGTGCTAGCTCTGATATATGGTGGGTGTGGGTCATGGGCAATGACAACAGCTTACAGAAGCCAACATCAGACCTCAGATATGAGGTATCTAAGAAAAGTGGTTCAAGCAACAAGAAGAGGCAAAGTTTGCAATCAGTCAATACTTCATGACCTTGAAACCCAAGCCATACAAACTTGAGTGGATCAACCACAGTTAGATGGTTTGGACATATATTCAGAAGTGGAGAGAATAGGCCACCAAGGCAGACTTGGGAGGCCAAGAACCATGGAACCAGACCACCAGGGTACCCAAGGATTCAATGGGAAGACAACATCCGACAGTCCCTGACTGACAGAGGATTCAAGTGGAGCAAAGCCAAAAAGAGAACAACTAACTGAGAAGTCTGGAGTTCTCTCTGGCAAACTTCTACACCCCAAGGTAGAAGAGAAGCAAATAAGCAAAGTAAAGTGTATGCAGGAAGATTGTTCTAATTTGTAATTTCTTCTACGGCACTAGCCTATGTAACAGATAATTCTGATTTCAAATGCTGAAAGAATTTATTTGGGTCCCATTCAATATAATTAATTTAGTTTCCTGGCTTTACTGATTAGGAAGCAGTATTAAGTAAGAAATAGGGCTAGCCATACCACCTTATACAGCCTAAAACTAGATTATTTGTTCTACACTTTATAGCCTCCTGATAAAGTTTTGATAAAGAAATAAAAGGTGTCAGGGTGTCTGGTCATTTTCTGTCTAGGTCTGACCCAGTTTCTTTTTTCCATTGTAGTTTTTTGCTGTCAGTTCTGCATGGACAGCAGCAAAACAAGCGGCCATACATGCGGTAATCGATACATGCTTCAGAAAATCGCCACAGGCCGTCTACGCTCCGAATGGGTGAAAGCATTTGGAAGTCGCAGTTGACCTCCATCTTCTGAACCTACACACTTGAGCATGAAGGAGTAAATGGTAATGAAACAGCTGATCGGCTGGCAAGTAATGCGGCTATACAGATGGGAAGAAGCATGGACAGAGCTGATATCATTAACACTGTATAGACTAGGTTGGGAGATCGTGGCGAATCTCTAATGCTAACATGAGTACGTGACCAAGGAGTTAAGCTTGATAAAGCAAGCATGTGTATGCCGTCTTTAAGGTAAAAACAGGAGATACAATAACCAACTCCTTATGCGAACAATCAGCAGAGGTACCTTGGAGCGGCTGCTGCATCGGATGACAGAGCATGCATGGGGATGCCTAATGTGCAAAGACGTTGATTGTGGTAACATAACATTTTTCTTTATTTCTAACTTGCTATTTATAATGGCACCATATAACTCTGTTTTGTTACTTTCACTGACCTGGATATGTTATATGCAGTCCTTTTTTTTTCTGGATGTATGCAGTAGCGTCACTTTTTTAAGGCTACATTTTCTTCAGCCATACTGTGATAGACAATTTGTGGTGACTACCAACACCTTTTATAAGACACTTTGTGGTGACTACCAACACCTTTTATAAGACACTTTGTGGTGAGTACCAACACCTTTTATAAGACACTTTGTGGTGAGTACCAACACCTTTTATAAGACACTTTGTGGTGAGTACCAACACCTTTTATAAGACACTTTGTGGTGACTACCAACACCTTTTATAAGACACTTTGTGGTGACTACCAACACCTTTTATAAGACACTTTGTGGTGACTACAACACCTTTTATAAGACACTTTGTGGTGAGTACCAACACCTTTTATAAGACACTTTGTGGTGACTACAACACCTTTTATAAGACACTTTGTGGTGACTACCAACACCTTTTATAAGACACTTTGTGGTGACTACCAACACCTTTTATAAGACACTTTGTGGTGAGTACCAACACCTTTTATAAGACACTTTGTGGTGACTACCAACACCTTTTATAAGACACTTTGTGGTGACTACCAACACCTTTTATAAGACACTTTGTGGTGACTACCAACACCTTTTATAAGACACTTTGTGGTGAGTACCAACACCTTTTATAAGACACTTTGTGGTGACTACAAAACACCCTTTTATAAGACACTTTGTGGTGACTACAACACCTTTATAAGACACTTTGTGGTGACTACAATACACCTTTTGGTGACTAAAGAAGACTTTGTGGTGACTACAACACCTTTTATAAGACACTTTGTGGTGACTACCAACACCTTTAATAAGACACTTTGTACCAACACCTTTTATAAGACACTTTGTGGTGACTACCAACCACCTTTTATAAGACACTTTGTGGTGGGGTGGTACCAACCACCTTTTATAAGACACTTTGGGGGAGTACACTTTTATAAGACACTTTGTGGTGAGTACCAACACCTTTTATAAGACACTTTGTGGTGTGTACCAACACCTTTTATAAGACACTTTGTGGTGAGTACCAACACCTTTTATAAGACACTTTGTGGTGACTACCAACACCTTTTATAAGACACTTTGTGGTGACTACCAACACCTTTTATAAGACACTTTGTGGTGACTACCAACACCTTTTATAAGACACTTTGTGGTGACTACCAACACCTTTTATAAGACACTTTGTGGTGACTACCAACACCTTTTATAAGACACTTTGTGGTGAGTAATAACACATTTTTATCAAGGAAAAAAGCCCTGGTTACATGCTCATGCGTGTGTTCTTTTAGGAATACAGCCACAGAAGATTCTTAATTTCGTTTCTTATGTCAACATATTCACCTGCTGACCTGCAGGTCTTGAGTTTAATTTCTCATTCAGGATTTTTTTTCCTTTCAAAACTGATCATGGTCCCAGGTCGACCTAATCTAAAATGAGTACCAGGTTATGTCATGAGAAAGTAAAGGCGGCCGGCGTGATGTTGGATGTTGACCACATTAGTCATTACCCAGTGAGTTAGATTAATCTATGAAAAATGAGTCTAGCATATTATCATATGCCAGATGCACCACTGCCGTTAAATCGGGCACTTTCTGAACATTTACTGTCTCTTGTCATGTCATGGAGCGGTGTTATATTGGAACATTGATAGACAGATACCGCTGGAGAGAGTGAGTGGAATCTTTTACAAAGCATTGATTGATTAACAACATTCAGTGATCCTAGTTAGTCAGCAAGCCAACTTATGCAAAACTTAAGATGTTAAGATCGCCTGACTGTCCGGACGCAAGGTTATAAGGACATCTCACAAACTTTAAAAATGCATGCATGACTTTGCAAATCACTACAAGTAGTACTTAAGCACTTAGCTGTCAGCGTTAGCCCTTCTAGTTCACAGAATCTAAACGAATGGCTGAATCAGTGAGTTCCTTATTGAAAGAAATACAGGGAAACGCATCGTGTTCTTAAGTCAAATATAATAAACAGACAGTATTCAATTTCGATAAATTATTGATTGACATACGACAGATGCAATCTGAACACCATTTGACTGCAATTAAATTATTATTATATAATGAATAATGCAATTATTAAAATTTAAACTAAACTAATTAAAACTTACACGTCTAGTTAAGTAGTTTTCAATCACTGCAGCCAGGCTGTAGAAGATACTAATAGTCTTAAAAGTTTATCGCCTCCAGCAAAGTAAACCAGGCCATTTGCTGCCTGACACAAACAGCCAGCAACTGTACCTGGATTTACTATTCAACTTGACTAAAACCGACCCTGCTGGAGCTGGAGACGAAGTAGACACTGTTATCCTACAGATATCCACACCTCGCTTGACAGCTGAGCTGAATGAATCAATGAATGCCCCTCAGTGTTGCCACTTTTCTTTGACAAAAAAACATCCAGAAATATCTAGATTTACGCAAGGGGAGCTGATAAGTGAAACAGCATTTTCCTACTCTCATCGGGCCGAATTTTATTGTCAAGATAGCATTTAAGAGGTCAAGTTTTATCCTATTTCTATTGTTAGTTTTGATATAATTCATAGCACTGAAAACTCTTTTTACGTCAGCATTTGAATAGGTAAGTAATAAGGCAGATATTGCACATTCAAAGAGCTTACCGAATGGACTGTTTGCTGAGGCATCTTTAAATTGTCTCACTTCACTCCAAAACGCTATTTTTTTCCTTACGTCCTTCTTAGGACGTAATTTTTTGTTATTTGAAGCCCCACTCT